TACTTCATTAATGATGTGTGATGATTCTTGCAACAAATCCCCCATTTCAGGCTCTCAGGGCACAATGTCTCCCCTCAATCACAATTTCATTTTCAAGTCACCACTGATGTACCTATCTACTCTCCACTAGACCACAAGGAAACCCCATAGGACACGTCTGCTTTTATTCATCTCTGCTGTCCCAAATCCCAGGAGAGTGAGTGGTATAGGGCAGCTATTTTACAAGTGTCTGTAGAAGGAAGAGAGGATGGAAGAAAAGTCAGACAGAACATTACTGTTACTATAGTTCTATAGTACTTCCACAACACAACACAATACAACCTGCAGAACTGAACAACAAATTCTCAACAAACAAGGGAGAAGAAAGGAAGCCTGATGATAAGAAGCTGACTAGTGTATGTGCTCCTGCTTTAAAGACTACAACTTAGGGCCAGATGCCAGTGGCTCAGACTATAATCTAGCTACTGAGGAGGCTGAGATCTGAGAGTTACAGTTCAAAGCCAGTCTTATCTCCAATTAACCATCAAAAAAGCCAAAGTGGAGTTGTGGCAAGTGGTAGATCATTAGCTTTGAACACAAAAGCTCAGAGGCAGTGCTCTAGCCCTAAATTCAAGCCCCAGGACTTGCCCACTGCATGTGCAAGCCGACCCCTTACACCCCTTGTTACCTCCCCACACACACCCACACAAGACAAGGGACAGCGCTTTAACCCTGAGTTCAGACAAAAAAAGGAAAAACAAAAAACAAGTAACATATTTTGGGGAAAACTATCAACCAAGAAAGGCTCTCCAGAGCTGGAGGTTTGACTCAGTTGGTAGAGCACTAGCCAAAAAGTAAAAGCAACAGGTACTGGGTTCTTTGAGTTCTGTTCTTAGGCAGAAGGGAGGGAGGGAGGGAAGGAGGGAGGGAGGAAGAGGGAGGGAAGGAAAAGGAAAAAGGAAAAGGGAAGCTCTTCAGTAACCACAATTGTACAACTTGTTCCTCTGGAAGTTTACTGTAAAATACAGTTCATATTTCTTCGTTAAAAATTAAAATAAAAAAATAAAGTTAACCAGATGCCAGGTAAGACAATATATGCTCATAGGCCCAGCTAGTTGGGAAGCTAAGACAGGAGACTCTCTGGAATCCAGTAGTTCAAGGCCACCCTGGACACACAGTAAAGATTGTATCTTAGAGAAAAAGTCAACCATATTAAACTGCAGAAACCTGTAACTTTAAACAGACCTAGAGCTGGGCACTGGTGGTTCACATCTGTAATCCTAGCTATTCAGGAGGCTTTGATTTGAAGACTGAAAGCAGGAAAGTCTGTGAGATTCTTATCTCCAATTAACCACCAGAAAACCAGAAGTAGAGCTGTGACTCAAAATGGTAGACTACTAGCTGAAAGGGCTCAGGGATGGTGTCCAGGCCCTGAGTTCAAGCCCCAGGACATAGAAAAATAAAAATAATTAGAATTCTATTCTTATAGGGAATTTCAATAAATTACTACTTTTATATTAGAACAATACCTTGCCTAGGTGTTTTCATAACAAATTTGTTACTTTTGTTTTCATAATAAATTATAGTAACGTATGACTTTTTATTAAATTTAGTTACTAAAATAGTGATATAAAAACTGTCAATTTACTAATTTAGTCTTGCATCTGACTTTTGCATCTTATAGGTTAACCCTGATACAGAATATTCCAAACCTCATAAAGTTTGTATATCAACGAAGTATATAACTCTGAAGGACAATAGCAAAACCAATTAAGCAGTGTTTAAAGCCATAAAGCCTTTTAATAAGCATTTAACAGCTCTGTGTGTCTGCTTAGACACTGTGAGACATGGTCTCCCTGTGTAGCTGGCCTAGAACATACATTGTTCCTGTCTTTGCCTTTGTAGTACTAAGACACTAGTCATGTACCAACACACCCAGCAGCACAGCTGCTGTAACCAGAGATAAAGGGAGAATTGGGCAAAACACACAGTCACAACCAAGCAAAGAAGGGGAGAAAATAGCTTACGTTTGAGGTATAACTAAAAAGAAACAATTACCTAAAAATCTCAATTTCTAAGTTAATGAAAAGAATAGCGTGGGGTCAAGGGAAGAAAGTAAACAAATGAAGAAGGGGAGAATGCAGTCAAGAATTCAATGTATAGGGCTGGGAAGGTGGCTCAGTGGTAGAGTGCTTGCCTTGCATACATGAGGCCCTGGGTTCAATTCCTCAGTACCACATAAGCAGAAAAAAAAGCCGGAAGTGGTGTTATGGTTCAAGTGGTAGAGCGCTAGCCTTGAGATGAAGAGCTGAGGGACAGCACCCAGGCCCAGAGTTCAGGCCCCACGACTGGACCAAAAAAAAAAAAAAAAAAGAATTCAAGGTATACGGGCTGGGAAGGTGGCTCAGGGGTAGAGTGCTTGCCTTGCATGCATGAGGCCCACATAAGCAAAAAGAAAAAAGCCGGAAGTAGTGTTGTGGCTCAAGTGGTAGAGTGCTAGCCTTGAGCTGAAGAGCTGAGGGACAGCGCCCAGGCCCAGAGTTCAGGCCCCACAACCAGACTGCCCCCCCCAATAAGAATTCAATGTATATATCCTACAAAATTAAGAAATAATAATAGCAATTTGATCGTTTTCATGATTATTCTTTAAAATCCTACAGCATAAATTTGTTTAGATTCACCTCTTTTGAATATACTTAATAAGGACTCTGGACAGGAAACATAATGGTTATCATTCTCATACCTTGAGTCTTAGAAAAATTGTTCTGTTTCAAGTATCCCTTCTAAAAAGTATCATTGCTTTTACTCTTTGCATAGAAGCTCATATCATGAAATAAATTTCATGGCTCGCTTAGACATATATATAAAAGTAAAACAACAACAACAGTAATAAGGAAAAAGTAACTTTGATGGCTAATGATAATAATTTCAGTTCCCCAGTGACTCAACTGGGGAATAATCAGAAGCAAGGCTGTTGTCCTCAGGAAAACACCCATAACAGAATCGGGTAAGAAGTGAACTATTATAGCCATGCGCTGCAGCCCTCAGTGAGGGTAAGAACATGGGAGTCTCAGGACGTGCGCACTGACTCGCTCACTGCTTTTGCCCTCCATCGCAAATCTGAAACCAGAGGCCCTGGCCATCATGCTTTCATCTACTGGCCTTCAACCGTACCCCATTTTATTATAAAGAATGCTCTTCTGCCTGGACTCTGCTCCTCAGTCACCTGCTAGAGAGGCTCTCACTACCCTCCTTTAAAGAAGGGAGCATAGGGGATGGGAAGGGGAAACAAAGGAGGAGGCAACAATGCTTGATAATAAATGTACTCATTACCTTGCCCATTTAATTGTAACACCTCTGAACGGTATTTTCAAAATTTAAAAAAAAAAGAAGAAAAAGAAGTTCACCCACAACTAAGCAGCATTCGATAAGCACTTGTTGAATTAGTTACTTTCAGTAATAAAAAAAAAACAAATCTGATGACAATTTAAAAACAAGTATGCATATCAACAAAACATCTGATACTCAATCTCAATTTGAAGTCTATAGAAAGAAAGAGAAGTTCTAACTTTTCAGTCAGATTTTACATTTATTTTGTCTGCTTCTGGAAATGAATGAGTAAAACATGGCAAACTCCAAATTGACATAAAAGTGTATCTTAATTCTGAGAAATCACAGCAAGTATATTATGATTCTCTGTCATACAGAGCCTGTGAAGATCTGGTGATTCACAAGCAAATACAAAAGTAATTTCACTACCACTAGGTTTTAAGTATACAGGCATCCTAATGCATAAACACTGTATTTTAAAGTATAAAACTTCTAAGAATAAATACACAAATGAAGGTAACAGAATTCCTGCTCTACAGCATCAAATCCTATCATTGACTAAATAAAAGTTAGCATTTAGAAATGAAACAATAAAAGAGAAGCCAGGTAGAGTCACAATTGTAGTTCCAGGTACTCATGAGGCTGAGAAAGCAGGGTCCCCTTGAGCCTGGACAACGCAGCGAGTGGGGATGAGGTAGTGGGGGGCACAGGGAGAAAGGGCCGTAAGAAAGGGGAGGGTGGGGGAAGGGGGGAGGAGCCCTTGTGGACATCAAGGGCAGGTTGTCAGGTGTGGGCTGTGTCAGCACTCCATCATCACTACTCTCTTTTTTGTCTTTTTTTTGTTGTTGGTGGTTGTGGGGCTTGAACACTGGGCTTGAGTGCTCTCCCTCAGCTCTTCAGCTCAAAGCAAGCACTCTATCGCTTGAGCCACAGCGCCACTTCCGATTTTCTGAGTGGTTTATTAGAAATAAGAGTCTGTCAGCCTTTTCTGCACAGGCTGGCTTTGAACCTTGATCCTCAGCTCTCAGCCTCCTGAGTAGCTAGGGCGATAGGCGTGAGCCACCAGCACCGGGCTACCACTGCACTCTTTCGAACTTTTTTGGGGTGCCAGTCCTGCGGTTTAAGCTCAGGACCTGGGTGCCATCCCTGAGATTCTTTTGCTCAAGGCTAGCAATCTAACACTTGAGCCACAACAACCCCTCCAGCTTTTTCTGCAGAATTTGCTGAAGAGTCTCACGGCCTTTTCTGCCTGGGCTGGCTCTGAACTACAATCCTCAGATCTCAGCCTTCCTGAGTACCTAGGATTACAGGAGTGAGCCACAGTGCCCAGTCACCCTAACTTTTTAAAAAGTGTAAGGTATTACATCCAAAAGAACAAGAGATACTGTAGCCAAGAACTCATCCCCAATGACTCTTAAAAGCTCCTGTGTGACCTTATAAACTCTAACCATACAGCACTGCACTAGTTACAAGCTAGTGAAAAGCCTTTTATTTACATAGTCAAGCTTGAAGAAAAAACAAGAAACAGAACAACCAGGAATCAAATAATAACCACACAATCCATCAGCACAACTAATCATTAAAAATACATGTCCTGAATAGGATATATTAGAAAACAAAGATTCTCTTCAACATCTGCTACTCACATAAAATGCCTGAAGCAAATGAGCTGTGTGGCTGGGATAACTTACCGTTACAGACTTCAGAGTCATGCCGTGGTAGGTACCCATGGTGTCGATTTTAAAGCCTTCCGTTTCTACAAACAAAAGGGGTTTGCTGTTAAGATTATTTATTTCTTGATAAAGAAATCTAAAGTTAGAGCTAGTAGCTCACAACTATAATCCTAGCGACCAAGAGGGCTGAGATTTGAGAAGTTCAATTCAATGCCAGCCCAGGCAGGAAAGCCCTTGAGAGTCTTTTTTTTTTTTTTGGCGGGGGTGGGGATCATCATGGGGCCTGAACTCTGGGCCTGGGCACTGTCCCTCAGCCCTTCAGCTCAAGGATAGCATTCTACCGCTTGAGCCACAGAGCCACTTCTGGCTTTTTCTGCTTATGTGGTGCTGAAGAATAGAAACCCAGGGCCTCATGCATGCATGGCAAGCACTCTACCACTGAGCCACCCTCATAGCCCGCTCCTTGAGTCTCCAATTAGGAACCAGAAGTGGTGCTGTGGCTCAAAGTGGTAGGTCGAATGCTAGCGTTCAGCAAAACAACTGAGGGATTAAAAAAATAAATAAATAAAGCCCTGAGTTCAAGCCCATGACCAACCAAAAAAAAAAAAAAAGAGAGAGAAGAAAAAGAAATCTAAACTTACCTAAAATTATATGTGAAAGTCAAATAGTATAACAAAGCTTTGAATCTACTCTATAAAATCTCTATAGAAGACAGCAGCCTCAAAAATATTCTATACACAACAAGCCTACTGGACAGAAACTGGGTAAAACTACCTCTCTATGCTCCAAAATAAGATTGAATACTCTGAAATCTCAAATTACTTACTAACAATAACCAATAATAGTACCACTAGAAGAATAAGAATAGTTCTTAAGTTATACAGAGTTGTCTCCCAAAGTTCCAACCGTGTTACTTAGTTTGTTATTCATACATGTCATTTATAGTTGTCATCACAGCCCCAGGACACTGCCGAGAATCCTTGATTGAAAAGGGCGATAGAGCAAATACTGAACACTTTGCAGGCCACAAATCTGTCACCATATCAAATTTTGCCATTATAATGCCAAAACAATATAAATAATATTTGCATGTACACATAGCAGGGTGGATATAGTCCATGAAAGGTTAGACCTGTTCCATGGGCTGCTTTATATGATTCATTCCATAAAGAAAAACTGCAGTGAAGAATGGATCATTATCTTCCATACAAATGAAGATAACAGGTTAAGACTTTATTCAGTAGATTAACATCAGTACAAAAAATTCACTGCACTAAGGCAACATAATCTTTACAGAATGTTAAATGCAGATTTCAGATTTCAATGCTGGAATCATGCAGAAAGGGCATGTTACTGCATTAGCCAGAACCCTACATAGAAATCACAAGGAATGCCTTCTCCTGTTTCAGGTCCACGGATGCTGCCCAAGTTCTCCATATATACATTTCTAATTGGAGATCATGACTTAATAAGTAGAATCTCCATCCTAAAATAAATTCCCAGGCAGAATTAATGTTGCCAGGTGCTGGTGGTTCATACCTATAATCCTAGCTACTCAGGAGGCTGAGATCTGAGAATCGTGGTTCAAAGCCAGCCCAGGCAGGAAAGTCTGTAAAACTCTTATATTCCATTAACCACCAGAAAACCAGAAGTGGCACTGTAGCTCAAGTGGCAGAGTGCTAGCCTTGAGCAAAAAGAGTTCAGTAACAACACCCAGGCCCTGAGTTCAAGTCCCACAACTCATACACACAGAGACACACACACAGAGAACCAGTGTTAGTAATAGCAAACATCTGTAGGTAGTTTCTTTCATATCAGACACCTTTTTAGGGATATCATCTTTATTAACAAGTTTACTTCCCAACAATAACCCTAAGAGATAAGTACTAATGCTATTAGAAATGTATTTATTTACATGAGAGAGACATAGACAGAACTGATAAAATACTAAAATTTCATACAATATAATGATCTGTGACACAAGCTATCTGCTTCTAGAATCCAAACTACAACCAAGAATTAATTTTTTTCTGTAAAGGGCCAGTTTGTATTTTTAAGCTTTGCCCACTATATGATCTGTCAAAACAACTTCAATTATGCTGTCACAGAACTAAAGATAATATACAAATGAATTAATAACATGGCTGTGTTCCAAAAAAAAATTCACAAAAGTATGAATTAAACTGATTCTTTCCAATTCTAAGTCTTAAATATCAGAACATACCGCTTTTGAGGTCAGCACAACCACAGTAAGAGGAAGGTAAAAGCAAGCAACTTGCCTTCTTTCCCTTTGAATCTTTCCTGGTCATATCTATTGTAGGCAGCTGGGATAGGCTGCTTAGTACGCAATGTGGGATCCTGTGGAAAAATAATGAGTTATGTTAATATTTAAAATACTACTTTAGTACTCACATTTAAAGCTGGCCCTAGGACTTGAACTCAAGGCTTGGGAGTTATTCTTGAGCTTCTGCTCAAGGCTAATACTCTACACTTGAGCCACAGCTCCACTTCCTAAATTTTTGGTGGTTCATTGGAAGTAAGTCTGGCTCTGATCTTAGCTTCCTAAGCAGCTAGGATTACAGGCATGAGCCACTAGTGCCTGGTGAAGTATTTATTTTCTGTGCTTCCTTTTTTTTACTATATAGCCAAGAAGACAAAAAACGATCAGGCCACATTTGATGACCAATAGTCATATTATTGCTGCTAAAAAGTACTGTCCTTATCAATAAACTTAAAACTTATAAAGCTTCAGAAATAAAATGATTACTAATTTCATTCTGATTATTTAAATAAATGTCTTTGTGAAATAATACTCTCTCTGCAATGATGACCTTAACAGTACACTTTTCAGCTGGGCACACAAGGCTCACTCCTATATCCTAGCTATTCAGGAAGCTGAAATCTGAGATCTGAGTATTGCAATTTGAAGCCACCCCAGACAGCAAAGTCCATGAGACTCTTATCTCCAATTAACTACTCAAAAGTTGGATGTGGAGCTGTGGCTGAAGTGGCTCATTGAGCACCAGCCATAAGCAGAAAAAGTTGAAGGACAGCATCTAGGCCCTGAGTTGAAGTTCCAGTACTGGCACCAAAAAAAACAAAAACAAAAATGGTGAAACAAACTTTTTTTGCATTCAGTGTAAGTTGCAAATCTGCTTCAGGATTAGCCAGTATGCCCTGGCCCTAAGTTTTAAGAATTGGGTCCTGAATTTACCAAGGAGGCAAGGCTAGGCTTTTTCTGAATGGACAGGGCAGAGACAGGAGCATTACTCCTTGAGGGAGGAACAAGCACAGATAGGCATGGAGGAGGGACACAGACATGGCAGAAGAGGCACATTAAACATGCATTCAGCCCAAACCAGGGCATTAGGTTATTCACTATGCAGAGTCCAGAGACTAGTCAAGAACTTTAATGAAACAAGCTGTCATCTTTTTTTCTTTTTGTTGTTCATGGAGCCTGAACTCTGGGCCTGGGCGCTGTCCCTCCGCTCTTCAGCTCAAGGCTAGCGCTCTACCACTTGATTCACAACACCATTTCCGGCTTTTTCTGCTTATGTGGAGCTGAGGAATTGAACCCAGGGCCTCATCCATGCAAGGGAAGCACTCTACCACTGAGCCACCTTCCCAGCCCCACAAGTTGTCATCTTAAAAAAAAACAAAAAACAATTTTTAATTCAAAGTTTACTGAACTGATGATAACTTTTAAATCTTTAACTGAATTACCTACAAAGATGTTAATCTCTAAATTAAATTAACATGGCAACCATGACAATAAATCCATAAAGTATTAATAAGTTTTAAATACTTAAAGTTACCTGTCCAATTTTACATACTTTAATTAATAAATACTTTATACTAAACTCATAGTCTGTAATAAAGGCAGATAAGTAAAGAATATCTCAAATATGCCAGAAGCCAGTGGCTCACATCTGTAATACTAGGTAGTCAGGAGACTGATACTTGAAGAATCACAGTATAAAGCTAGCCTGGACAGAAAAGTCTGCTAGACTTCATCCCAATTAATCAGAAAATACTAGATTGGAGGCATGGCTTCAGTGATAAGAGTGCCAGTCATAAGCAGGAAAGTTAAGAGCTTGAGGCCCTGAGTTCAAGCCAAAAAATGAAAGACAAAAAAAATGTCCCAAATCTGGTTGAGAAATTTTATGATAGTCACAAAGAATGCAATACTTTTCATTTTGATAGAATAGAATTCCATTTAAGTATTATCACAAATGAAAGGTAATTATCTAGACCTCAGGTAGGTATATTTACTTTGCAAGTCAAGGCTTATGTAAATACAAAGAAAGAATATTCATAGCCATAAAGACAACTGTTAAAATGTTTTAGTTTGATATGAATCTAAACACTATTAGAAATACCATGCCAGGAGCCAATAACTAACACCTGTAATCCTAACTACTCAGGAGGCTGACGTGTGAGGATCATGGTTCAAAGCCAGCCTGGTCATGAAAGTCTGTGAGACTATTATCTCCAATTAATCACAGAAAAACCAGACGTGGCACTGTGGCTCATGAAGTAAGGGTGTTAGCCTTGAGCAAAAAGGAGCTCAGCTAGGCATTAGTGTGGCTCACACCTGTAATCCGAGCTACTCAGGAGGCTGAGATCAGAGGATCAAGGTTCAAAGCCAGGCTGGCAAGAAAGTCCTTGAGATTCTTATCTCCAATAAAGCACTAGAAAACCAGAAGTGGCAGTGTGGCTCAGACTGCAGAATGCTTGCTTTAAGCTAAAGAGCTGAGGGATAGCACTCAAGCCCAGAGTTCAAGCCTCATGACCGACAAAAAAAAAAAAAATGTATTATACACATAGTCAACATAGCGAAACAAAATACCTTTTTACAAATATTTAAAGATGATCAAAAACCACTTAAAAAAAAACATTTAGAAGATAAGGCAGATTTTTAACTTGTAACAGTGGTTAAGAGATTCTCCAAAAGGCAGATAAAGTTTACCTAAAATAACTATCAGATTACCTTCCTAATTAACTTCTCTCAGACACTCACACAGGTCACAACAGCAGCCCAGGATTACTGTTGAAGTTAACTTTTTTTTTTTTTGTAGGTCGTGGGGCTTGAACTCTGGGCTTGGGCGTTGTCCCTCAGCTCTTCAGCTCAAAGCTAGCACTCTACCACTTGAGCTATAGCGCCACTTCTGGTTTTCTGGTGATTTATTGGAGATAGTTTCACGGACTTTCCTGCCCAGAGTTGGCTTTGAACCGTGATCCTCAGATCTCAGCCTCCTGAGTAGCTAGGATTACAGGCATGAGCCACCAGCACTCGGCTTGAAGTAACTTTTTGTTTTGTCAGTTATAGGACTTGACAGCACCCTGGGTGCTGTCATTTAGCTTTTTTGCTCTGCCACTTGAGCCACACAATTCCACTTTCCACTTTTTGGTGCTTAATTGGAGATAACTCTGACTATTCCTGGACTAAGCCTGGACTGGCTTTGAACCACAATCCTCAGATCTCAGCTTCCAGAATAACTAGGATTACAGGCATTACAGGATTACCAGCCCCCAACCTGAATAACTTTTAATGCTAGGAAGGGTCTTTACACCCATCAGGTATACACAAGCTCTTTTAAATAATTTAATACAAAGCCAGGCACCAGTGGTTCATACCCATAATCAGAAGGCTGAGATCTGAGGATCACAGTTTGAAATTAGTCTGTGCAGGAAAGTCTGTAAGCCTCTTATTTTCAATTAACCCACCAAAAAGGCTGAATTGGAGCTGTGGCTCAAGTGGTAAAGCACTAGCCTTAAGCAAAAAAGCTCAAGCATACATTCAAAGCCCCAGAACTAGCTCAGGAAAGAAAAAACCCAAAAGACAAAAAAACAAAACATCTTCAAATTACAATGCACACCAGTACTTTCATTAAAACCTTTATGTATAATAATTGAGAAAGCATTTATGTTTTGACAGATATTTAAAGGCCGTAGTTTTCTTCATTGACTATTATTGTTTTACATGGCCAATTTTTGGGTCCTCTCTATTTTATAAATGACTGCACAGCTGGGAACAAAATAAACTGACCTTGATATAGCTGTGTAGGCGAATGTGTAAACTATTTTGGAAATTAAGTACAATATATTTTTCTTCCAACTTCAATAAAAATATTTTAGTACTGCAAAAAAAAAAAAATTCTATGTAAGCAGAAAACATCCTTACCACAGGTGCTGCATTTGGAGCTGGTCGCTGTTCAGGTGCCCGCCCTTCCTCTCTGGCTTTTACAGATTGAAGAATTGCAAAAATATTCTTGGAAAAGTTCTGCAAAATAAATGAATTCTAATTAAGTGCATCCAGGTACACAAAGGCAATAAGCAGTTTGGAATTAAGCGTTCTTCCTGTCGGTTCTTCCCTATTGTACCCCGGGTTTACTTACTAATGCTATGGCAAGGAGGATATGGGCTGTCTCCACAGGCTCACAACTGGAGGCTTCTGTCTCAGTGTGATGATACTGAGGTGGTGAGACTTAAAAAAATGTGAAGCCTAGCCGGTGCCAGTGGCTTAGGCCTGTAATCTCAGGAGACTGAGAACCGAGGATCCAGGTTCAAAGCCAGCCCAGGCAAGAAAAGTTCATGAGACTCTTATCTCCAATAAACCACCAGAAAACCGGAAGTGGCGCTGTGGCTGAAGTGGTAGAGCACTTCAGCCTGAGCTGAAGAGCTCAGGGACAGTACTCAGGCCCAGAGTTCAAGTCCTACAACTGACAAAACAACAACAACAAAAAAAAAACCCATAGCATACAGAAAATCAGTTTGCAAAATGTACAAAAAGACAATAGTAACATTGTTTTAAGGACTGGAGGCATAGCTCAAATGCAGAGCTCCCATTTTGAAAGCTCAGGGCCTGAGTTCAAATCCAGTACCAAGAAAAAAGTGACATTGTTTTAAATTTCTTTAAAATTCCTAGTTTAAGAATAATTCAGCGGTATTCTGTTATTTACTTCTCCACCCAGTATTTATTGTGCTTATTAATAGTCAAAGAACAATCTAGCCTCACAACTAGAAAAGGGAGAAATGTAGTATAACTTTGCAAGTAATTGTGAATATTCCTTATTTTATATCACACCAATGTTATTGGTGTGGAAAACATCTTAAAATTGATCTATCTTGCATTTTGTTTTTTTGGGAACTGTTACTGTAATTTGAACTCAAGGCCTGGGCATGCTACCAATGGGCCACAGCTCCACTTCCTGCTTTTATTGGTCAACTAGAGGTAAGAGTCCTAGACTTTTCTGCCTGGGCTAGCTCTGAGCCTTGATCCTCTGATCTCCACCTCCTGGGTAGACACCAGCACATGGTCATCTTGCACTTTAAATGGGCTTTTCCATGTAGTATAAAGTAGCAACTAATTATTTTTAAAACATTTGTTTCTATGTTTGTTTGAATCCATTTATTAACATTACTCATTAAAGACTCACTAGAAAAGAAAGCTAATATCATCAGACTAATAGAAACAACCTTCTTAAAACTAATTTTCTCATAAAATCTCATATTCTATTATTGTTTGGGGGTTTTTTTGTCTTTTCTTTTTTGGTACTGGGAATCGAACCCAGGACATAGTGTATTTGCCTAGCAAGTGAGCTAGCTACATTCCATTCTATTATTGACAACAAATGCTCACAGCTGTTTTCCTTGAATTAACACTTCATTTTCAAAAAATATCTGTCAAATGCCCAAGTCTAGTTACTTACACAAAAAATAAATGAGTTTTGACAGAAAGAGTGAGAGAAGGGGAAAGACAAACTAGAATACATTGTAAATGAATATAGGAAAGTAACAATAAAATCCTTCCCTATAAAACTAATGTAAGCTAATAAAAAAAAGATACCAAACAAAGCCTTTCTACAAGAGTAATTTACAAAGCAGCTGATTCAACTAAGTCAGATATTAGCACAGGTGCTGTTCATGAAGTCAACCATAGTATTTTGGTGTGCAGGCCTGTTTTATCCATTCCAATTGTATCACACCAAATAATAGAAGAAACAAAGATCAAGATTTAACCAGACTTCATCATTATCAGTGGCTGTAGAACACCACCACAACTAGTGTTGTGTGGTGCTGCTGTGGTGACACACGCCATGGGCACGCAGACTTAGCAACCACTGCTTCTGTACCATCATGGCAGGGAGAAATGCAAATGAAATCACAGTCTACTGGGAAAACTGAAGAAAAACAAATCTACTTTAAAAAAACAACAAACTGGGCTGGGAAGTGGCTCCGTGGTAGAGTGCTCGCCTCACATGCATGAGGCCCTGGGTTCGATTCCTCAGCACCACATGAGCAGAAAAAGCTGGAAGTGGCGCTGTGGCTCAAGTGGTAGAGCGCTAGCCTTGAGCTGAAGAGCTGAGGGACAGTGCCCAGGCCCAGAGTTCAGGCCCCACACTGGACCAAAACAAAAAAACAACAAACTGAGAGACACAAACACTAGAAGAATAAACGGAAACATCATCAGATACTTTTGCATGGTAGAATTATAGATGATCTCTTCCTTTACTGATCTTTTTCATGGATTTTTCAACAAACATATACTACTATGGTTTGAACAAGTCCTCCAAAATATATCGTCAGTGCAACAGTGCTGAGAGCTGAGATCTTTTGGAAGTGATCTCTAAGACAGCATATGGCTGGAAGAGTGCTTCCTGAGAAAAGCAGGAGTGCAGTTTCCTTCTCACTCAGGAGAGCCTCCCTGACCAGACACAGTGTCCTTACCTGGGACTCCCCAGCCTCCAGAACAGTCACCCACAGACAGTTCTGATCATCATAAATGACTCAATTTGTGCTACTGTTACAGAATAAAATGTATGATTTAATGGCATTATAAAATTAGGTTGCATTATTTGGGGTGTTTTAATACAGGTATACAAAAGAATGTATTTCTATTTCTCATGATAATTTAAACCTTTCTAAACTAAGAAAAACAACAACAAAAAAAAAGGTCCTGTTTGCCAGGAATAATGAAGGTATATCTAAAATCTGTAAGATTAGAGTTTAACAGAAAAAAAAAAAACAGTATACTGAGAGATTATCAGCCAGAATGTTTACTTTCAATTTTTTTAAATTTAATACAGAAGCAAACCTAGATAACAATGAGTAAATTATCAACTTATTTTTTAAGTACAGTGGAACCAGTAACATTAAATTAAATTAGATCACTAGGTTTTTGAATTGTAGTACAATTCTGCCACCTAGAGCTTAAAGAAAAATGTTCATCTCAGTTATTTGAAAATTCGCTGTTTGGGCTGTGAATGTGGTTTAGTGGTAAAAGGCTTGCCTAGCATGCATGAAGCTCTCGGTTTGATTCCTCAGTACCACATAAACAGAAAAAGCTGAAAGTGGTGCTGTGGCTCAAATGGTAGAGCGCTAGCCTTGAGCTAAAGAGCTCAGGGACAGCACCTGGGCCCAGAGTTTAAGCCTTACAACTGACCAAAAAAAAAAGAAAGAAAATTCACTGTTTGATGTGAAAGAAAAAAAGGGAGGGTACCAGCTGCTTTATTTACTCTAAGTTTAAAATTTCCAAAAATTATCCGGATCTCTATAAGCCACAGTATGTTTCAAGAATTAGCCATATTAGGTAATGAAAACAAATACGTAGATCATTTGATTGTAACAAAAGTAGAAAATGAAACTTTTCTAAGCACCAGATTTCATCAACAGTCCTAAGTTCTGAAGGATGATTCTTTACTTATAACTTGTAAGTTATATTATTCTTTACTTATAACATGATTTAAGGAACTGAAAGGTCTTTGTACAAGTACTTAATATAAAACAAGCCAGGAGCCAGTGGTTCACATCTGTAATCCTAGCTACTCAAGAAGCTGAGGGGCTGGGAAGGTGGCTCAGTGGTAGAGTGCCTGCCTTGCATGCATGAGGCTCTGGGCTCAATTCCTCAGCACCACATAAGCAGAAAAAGCCAGAAGTGGTGTGTGGTTCAAGTGATAGAGTGCTAGCTTTGACCTGAAGAGCTGAGGGACAGTGCCCAGGCCAACAACAACAAAAAAAGCTGAGATCTGAAGATCAAGGTTCAAAACCAGCCTGGACAGGGAAGGCTGTTGGACTCTCCAATTAACCACCAAAAAAACGGAAGTGGTGCTGTGGCTCACAGTGGTAAAGCACAACTCTTGAGAGAAAAAGCTCAGGGATGGGCTGGGAAGGTGGCTCAGTGGTAGAGCACTTGCCTTGCATGCATGAGGCCCTGGGTTCGATTCCTCAGCACCACATAAGCAGGAAAAAAAAAGCCGGAACTGGCGCTGTGGCTCAAATGGTAGAGTGCTAGCCTTGAGCTGAAGAGCTGAGGGACAGTGCCCAGGCCCAGAGTTCAGGCCCCACGACCAGACCAAAAAAAAAAAGCGCAGGAAGCACGCCTAGGCCATTAGTTCAAGCCCTACCATCAACAACAACAACAAAAATATGTTGATGAGTGAAAGAAAAACAGGAAGAATTCTTTTCTTTATGCACTTCAGTAACAGCTTTCTTTTCTTTGTGCGTACATGCCTTTCCTGGGGCTTGAACTCAGGGTGTTTGGGCTTGAGCTTTCTTTTCCCCTCAATTCTACCCCTTGAGACAGGTTCCACTTCCAACTTTTTAGCAGTTACTTGGAGACAGGAGTCTCAGGAACTGGGCTGGTTTCAAAGTGATAGATCTCAGTCTCCTGAGTGCTAAGATTATAACTGCATCACAGGCACCAGGTATAACAGCTTGACTCTTATATGGCACAAAGAATTTAAGGCTATGGGGTCATGAGGAAAAAACTGGGAGAGAGCCAAGGAAGGGGTGACATTGTCCAAAAATAATGCACTAATTGGGCTGGGAAGATGGCTCAGTGGTAGAGCACTTGCCTTGCATGCCTGAGGCCCTGGGTTTGATTCCTCAGCACCACATAAGCAAAAAGAAAAAAGCTGGAAGTGGTGCTGTGACTCAAGTGGTAGAATGCGAACTTTGAGCTGAAGAGCTGAGGGACAGCGCCCAGGCCCAGAGTTCAGGCCCCACAACCGGACCCAAAAAAAAAAAAATGCACTCATTACATAAGTTATGAAATGGTAACCCTCTGTATATCACCTTTAGAGCAACAAAAAAAAACAATTTCTTTTAAAAATAATTTAAGGCTAAAATCCAAAAATTCAACAATCAAAACCAATCTGAACTAGATGTTGGGTAGACGTCTATACTACCAGTACATCTGAAGCAAGAAGGTCATGGCTTCATGGCCAGCCTGCCTCAAACAGGGATTCATCCTGTTTTATTTCCAAGTATGAATCCTTTGGCTGTACAGATACAAATGCACAGAACTGTAGCGTGTCTTTTAATGCATTATTTCTAACAGTGATAAGAATAAAAGGGAAGAAAAAGAAAAGGAGGATGGAGAGGATAACAGAAGAGAGGAGAGGGAAAGGAGGCAAAAAAGGAACAGAGCAAAGGGAGACAAACTCCAAATTCCTGGGGCAAAAACAAAGTAACATTTCCATCAATAAGGAACTAATAAATGCCTACAATCCAAAGAGAACATAATGTATAAAGACAATAATTATTTGTTGACTAATGTCTGAATGTCCCTCTGTATGAAAAAGAATTATAGTGATTATATCAGTTCTCCAAAGATTCAGAGAGCTTTTCATCAGCATTCCACTACATCAAGTTTAGACAAAACTCAACTCAACATGAAAATTAGGCCACATTTTGATTCGTAATTGATGCATGAAGACTTTGAACCAGATTTTTTCAGCTTATTCCATCCCTATGAATGGAACAGCCTATATGGCCACAAAGATTTCCAAGACATTCAACTTCAACACTCCACCAAATCCCATTTTAAACAATTCTGTAACTAAGGAATGAGTAACATTTTAATTACCTTTCCTGTACTCTGTAAGATAGTTGTTCGTGTTCTCCACACCCTCTCTCTGCTGACAATATCTCGGGTCACGTCCACCTCAGCATCCACAAAACTCCTCTGTTTAAGGGCAGTTATATCATCATCTAGATCAGTCTTGATAGTAGATCTTTTCTTAGCCATAATTTTGGCTTTGATTGCAGCAATTTTTTCCACTGACATAGCTTCAGACAAAGACCTAAAAGCAACTTATTCTTAAACTTTTGCAGCAGAGATTGCTTAAGCATATCATATCATTTATTATAAAATTCCCATAAAAAGCTTACATAACATTAAGATTTTATCTGTAGAATTGATATACTTGAGTGTCACACAGGAGTTCATGTAGGTGTCAGTGGCTCATGCCTGTAACTGTAACTACTCGGGAGGCTGATATCTGAGGATTTCAGTTCAATGCTAGCCCTGGCAGGAAAGTACCTGATTAACCACCAAAAAGCTGTGGCTCAAATGGAAGAACACTAACCTTGAATAAAAAAGCTCAGGGACAGCGCCCAGGCTGAGTTCAAAAAAACTGTTGTTCCTGAGGTCTCCCATGAGAACTAGAACTCTGTCTGGAATTAGAACTGAGGCCTCTTTAAAAAAAAAAAAAAAAAAACACTGTAGCAAAGAGCCATATTCCCCCAGACTTTGAATGAAGCCAAGTTGAAAAGTAGTGGACTAATTTGACATACACCTATAATAGAAGTGGAAGACTGAGATTCAAAGCCAGCCCAGGCAGAAAAGTCCATGAGACTTCCTGTCTAATTTACCAACAAAATGTCTAACTGGAAATGTGGTTCCAGTGGCAGAACACTAACTGCAAACAAGCAAGTGCGCCAGAGTACAAGGCCTAAGTTTACACACCAGTATCATCTTTTAAAAAAAAAGGACAGAAGTAACAGACTAATTAATCTGGCAGAAGAAATTTTAATGAAGCTCAGTATACAGGCACTAAGGCTATAGTTGCTTTAAGCCAAGTTAACAGAATCGTGAGCAAAAAGACAATTACAACTGGGTGCTGGAGGCTCACGCCTGTAATCCTAGCTTCTCAGGAGGCTGAGATCTGAGGATCAGAGTTCAAAGCCAGCCGATGACTCTTCTCTTAAATTAACCACCAGAAAACAGGAAGTGGCACTGTGGCTCAAGTGGTAGAGCACTCACCTTGAGCTGCAGAGCTGAAGGACAGCACCAGGCCCAGAATTCAAGCCCCACGACCAACCAAAAAAAAGACAACTAAAAATGTCTGAAAATTTTGAACTTTCCTAAAAAATAAACATATAATGCCAAGCATGGCTTGACATGAACAGGCCTCTGTGACATACATCTATGAGATACTGTTTTTACATGCATAGTTAATCTAAAAATAGCTAAGGAAGTATGGAGACTTCCACCCAGTTTCTTTTTCTTTTTTTTTTAATTTTTTTTTGGTCCAGACATGGGGCCTGAACTCTGGGCCTGAGCGCTGTCCCTCAGCTCTTCAGCTCAAGGCTAGCACTCTACCACTTGAGTCACAGCACCACTTCTGGCTTTTTTCTTTTTGCTTATGTGGTGCTGAGGAATCGAACCCAGGGCCTCAGGCATGCAAGGCAAGCACTCTACCACTGAGCCAACTTCCCAGCCCCCTCCACCCAGTTTCAAAGGAAGGTCTGTGAGGCCCAGCAACTTATGGCAGGGTCAGATCTCTGGAAACAGGTAGAGAGGGCAATGCATGAAACAATGAAGGTAAAGCCAAGGCACAATCTCTAAAAATTATGGAGATGCCAGGAATGTGGAATGTCTGCTGCGCCTGAGAGTCCCACTGAGCTTCCGGTGGCAAGACCATTATAGTAGGGCTGCAGACCACTGGAGCTCACTTCCTGACACAACACCACTGGGTCAGACATGGCTCTGCAGAACGTACTATCTGCCCTGCTGGGTTCTGATCTTGCTTTGGTCCCATTCCTCCTTTCAGAATGGGAATGCTTACTCTGGTCATTAAATGTTCTAGGCATGTATTATGCTTTTGAAATGTTATGGAGGCTCACCGCTAAGAGCTGTCACAGGGAGTGACAGCCTCAAAAGAATCTTGAACATTAGAGAAATGGGAGACTTTAGGACCAAAGGGGGGAAAGTTATGGTTTAATTATGAAATGACTCCAGCAGGTTCATGTGTTAGACAGGACATTGTGGGGGGCACCTGACTGAGAACAAGCCTCCCTCTGGGATCAGAGGCTTTGTCTTACTACACACACAGGCCCAGAAGTAATGGAGTCAAGTGGCACTGATAAACCTCTGAAATGGTGACTCAAAATGAATCTTCCATCATTTTATCAGGTATTTGTCACACAGTTGTAAACGCTAAACTGTGGTATATAATCTAGAAATAACAAGTACACAGGAGGGGCTGAACATGGTGGCCCATACCTATAATTCCAGCTCTGCAGGAAGTGGGGGGGTGGATCATAGTTCAAGGCCAACCCAGGGAAACAAGGCAGGCATTGTAATTCATGCCTATAATCCCATCTACGTAGGTGACAGAGGTAGAAGGAATATAGGTCAGAGATAGCCCAGAGCAATACGCGTGAGACCCTGTCTGAAAATTAAGCAAAAAAAGGCTGTAGATGCCGCCCAAGTGGTGATGCACCTGCTGAGCAAGCTCAAACCCTTGAATCTAAACCCCAGTCAGTACTGACAAAAAATAAAAATAAAAAACAAAATATACAGTAAGGCAAGTACAGCCAATAGCATGCTATTTTATATCAAGGAACAATCACTGATGGGGTCCAAGGGACAACTCATTTCCTGCACAAGGAAACAGAGGCATGGAATGGATGGAGATAAATGTAAATGCAGATAGCATTTCCCATATGCACTCCTTAACTCCTCTCCACTAAAGAAACCCTTACCTGATCTGCTCAGTCTGCACAATTCCTTCTTTATGGCCCTCCAGCCGGGCAGCCAGTCTCTCTTTATCAAGGCGCACACACTCTTCATCCTGGAAACAATCACTAGTTAGTAAACATTTCATTTTTATTTAATTTTGAAGAAGTAAAATCACCACACACAGATTTTTCTTACCAAAAATCCCCTTTGCAGTTCCAGGTATTCCTGTACTCAAGCCACCATTACAACTGTGTGTAAAGTCACACAAAGATGGAAACTAACCACAAACATTCCTTAACTTAGGGTGTGACTCCACTCTGATACACCCAAGCTAAATTAAAAATGCTCATTACTCCGGAGGCTGAGATCTGAGGATAGTAGATCAAAGACAGTCTGGGCAGAAAGTCTACAAGACTCTACTTCCTAATTAATCACCAAGAAGCTAAAAGCAGAGCTGTGGCTTAAGTGGTAGAGAGACTGCCTTGAGCAAAAAAACCCAGGGATGGGGCTGGGAAGGTGGCTCAGTGGTAGAGCACTTGCCTTGCATGCCTGAGGCCCTGGGTTCAATTCCTCAGCACTACATAAGCAAAAAGAAAAAAGCCGGAAGTGGTGCTGTGGCTCAAGTGGTAGGGCACTAGCCTTGAGCTGAAGAACTGAGGGACAGTG